CGAAGTTGGGGAGCTTCCTACAGCCCTTCAGTTGTGTTTTTCCCAGCACTTGTTTAGCAGATTTAACAGCTTCCACCTTGGTGTTGTAGGAACAAAAATAAATCTGCACATTTCCAAGAAAAACAAAAGAAACTAGTTTCTGCCTTCAAATCTACTAAAGAAAAGCATACATAGGAACCACATTCAGTTCAATGAGCTAGAATTTAAAAACAGATACAGCCTGCCAGCATTTAGAGTATTCAATAATAGCAGTGGTCACCTGGGGCAGCGGAAATAACATGGTAATGATATTTTGAGAGGTTCCTGGAATCAAAACACAGGTCAGATTTTTCCCCTTTCCTTTTGTTTTTCAGGGGAAAATCAGTTATTCTCGTAGGGATTAGGGATGGTTATTTTCATAGACTGTGATATGCAAGCATAGTCTATTGCTTCCCACATCTGGCCTGAAACTAGCATAGTGAGAAATCATCTTGCGGTATTAGTCAGTTCTCAAGCCAGGAATGGGAACACATTTAGCCCTCTGAAATCAGAAGAACACAGGGCTCAGGGGACTGATCTAGGTAAAAACTAAAACACCCACCAGTGTTTAGGGGTTGGTGGTGAGGTATACCTAGAAGCAAGAGAATATAAAGCAGGTGGTAAATTTCAAGGAAGAACTGAGACATTTTGATGGTTGTTGTATTAAACTCTAAGAATATGATGGGGAAGGAAAACAGCATTTCTCTGCTCTTTCGAATCCGACACAAATCTTTAGATGTGTTATTGTTGCCCTCCCCCTTCCATGGTGCTGGGGATTGAACTCAGGGCCTCACCCATGCTAGGCTAATTTCTTTTTTTTTTAAGACTTTTAGCAAAGTCAGCTACTACAAACATCCGAGGAAGAATAGTGGTTGATTTTAAAGTCTTTTTTGTAGTTTTGTTACTATGCATTGAAAACCAAAATTATAGAGTACAATGAAATATGTTTTGGCTTCTTGATACTACATAATGAACTGTTTGTCTTTTATAGATTTATTCCAAGAAACTCAACATATATTTCAATGTAGTAAATTAAGACATTTCTAACTGTGGCTATTTGGGGGAGATGGCTGGGAACAAGCTGTGAAAAATCTAAATAAAATCTAAAATCTAAGTACAGTTGTGTTTAGATACAACTCATGAGCTAAATGGAGAAAATATTAGCAAACTGAAGTCTTGGGGCTTGTTTTAATGAACAGACAAAAATGACTTGTGATCAGCACAGCTGTTGTGCTAAAAACTACACATATCAAATTTGATTAATCATACTATGGATTTTCTTATAAACTTCTTATACCCCTATATATACTGTGAACATAAAAATTTCACAAATTAAGAGTTCACCCAACTGAAATATACTTCTAATTTGTTTTATAAAGACTTGGGAATTTTGTCACTAGAAAAATCGCAATTGCTTTCCAGTTGTTAAAAGTTTGCAACTGCCTATACTGGCAGAGGTTTATAAAGTGAAAATATTTTGACTAACTGATTCTGACTTCTAAAATCAATGAAAATTTTCCACTAACTAAAAAAACAAAGTTCTCAGTACATTATCAGCAGTAGTCACAGCCATTTAAAATTGTCAGGGGGGCCGGGGATTTAGCTCAGTGGTTCTGGCGTCTGCCTCACAAGTGCAAGGTCCCGAGTTCGATCCCGGGTACCAAAAAAAAAAAAATAAAATAAAATAAAATTTTCAGGGTTTTTCTTGATCAACTTTAGATTAAATCATGTTTTCTATTTTTTCTGCAGCAGAGTGCTTATCAACAGGTATTATTAATTCCTAGATTATCTGACAATCTCTCCTACTAGACCAACAACAAATTTACAAATTCTATGAAGATGAGAACTGTATCTATACCCACAGTATTTTATATATAAACTTACTCATGAACTAGTGTAATGCATTATTTTGGATATTTCTTATAATGAATCCTTTCCTACTGGATGCTCAGTTCCACATCTGTGAGATTTACCATTTGTTCCCCTAGTCACCAAGTACTAGTCCCCTAGTATGTATGTGTGGGATGAATGCCCACAGTCTAGTAGGGTGTTGGCAAACTCAATGATGTGGTAAACTGCTGAGTCTATTTTCCTCTTCCCAGAGCTCATTTGTTGTTCATTTACCTCTTGAATGATAAGAATCATTCATTCCAAGGTAGTCAAGCAGATCGGACTCTGGATGTTAAAACTTGAAAAGCTAATCTTGGACACAAGGATTACAAATTCTTATCTTGGGGGATTCTCAACTCTACCCACTCCTGAACGGGCTTCCAAAAGTTAGATACATTCCTTGACTGAAGAATGCACATCCTCTAAGACAGCATCTCATTTCCTTTGTTAAATTTAGGAGGATGGTGAAAGAACACCTACAAATTAGCCTTGCAGGCAACCAATGGGGACAGAAGCCTGCCCTTAGGTCCCCCAAAACAATTTCAAAATTGAAGAGGCAGCAGGCAGAGGAACAACAGCAGTAACAAAACCATTATAACAAGTTATTTACAGAGAAAATCCATCACAATGAAACTAACGTGGTGTCTAACCTAACAATTACCATAACAACCATTGAAAAGTGAGTTATGTGACTTCAACTTCAAAATCCTTCACTGTACTCAAATGCAGATATCTATGCAAACAGGAAAGAAAAGGAGTCTAACCGGAGTTAGAAATGATAACCCCAAAGCTCACTCACTCTGTGAACATATTTAGCACCTTCATGAACACAATCAAAGCCCTAATTGCCTGAAGCAATTTCCTGAGGCTTGTAATCACTAAAGCTCTGAGATCTGTTCCTGAGCTCCCTGGACCAGCTATGACTAACCAGAATCACTGCTCGCTGCCGTGAACTCTCAGTGCTGGCCAACAACCCTTCCTACTTCCCTCACCAGGGCCTGTCCCCTAACCCAGGCAGACCCCAGCCCTTGGAGGACCTTCTCCAGGCGTGCACAACTGGCCACAGTGGACACAGCACGGAGTAGTCAAAGATGACTACGATTTCTCTTCAATCCAAACCTTGATGTTGATTATTAATAAATGTTCCTACCTCTCCACTCCTCTTCAATGTAAATATTTGGGAATGCACATTTTTAAATGTTTGAGTGTAGTAGCCTCTCCCTATTCTTTCTTGGGTTTTTGGTGGGGTTTTTTGTTTTTTTGCTATTTGGCAACAGGCTGTCCTTGAACTATGTACCCCAGGTTGGCCTTAATTTAAACTTGCTGTAGGGCCAGGGATTTAGCTCAGTGGTTTTGCCGCCTGCTGCGCAAGCACAAGGACCCGAGTTCGATCCCCGGTACCAAAAATAAAAAATAAAAAAATTTAAAAATAAATAAATAAATAAATAAATAAATAAACTTGCTGTAATTCACCTGCCTCAGCTTCCCAAATGCTGGGATTATAGACATGCACCACCATACCTGGCTTGCCCCGCGCCTTATTTTTATCTGTAGTTTTGCTTTCTACAATTAGTTGTCCCAGGTCAACTGTGGTCTGAAAATATTAAAAGGAAAATTCCAGAAATAAACAACTTATAAATTTTAAGCTGTGTGTCTTTTATGAGCCATCCTGGTGGACATATGAATCACCCCTTTGTCCAGTGTATCTGCATGGTATATGCTAACTACCTGTTAGTCACTTAGTTGTCTTGGTTGTAAGATTCTAACTATTGTGGTATCCTGCTATTATAGCACTTCTTTTCAAGTAACCCTTATTTTACTTAATCATGGCCCCAAAGAGCAAGAGTACTGATGGTGGCAATGTAATTACAGTACATTGTTACAACTATTCTCTTTCATCATTGTTGTTGTTAATTTCTTCCTGTGCCTAACTTACAAATAAAATCAGATATGTATGTATGGGAGAAAATGTAGCACACATAGTGCTTGGTCCTATCCTGGGTTTCAGGGATCTGATGGGGATCTTGGAACATATCTCCTATGAATAAGGGGGGACCGCTGGATAGCCATGAAGACAGTAAGGTCAAAGACCAGTTCACCTTTATTTCTGATCCTTGGTACCCTACACAGATTCTGAGTGTATGTTTGAAAAGAAAGAGAAGTATACAGGGAATAAGTGGTTGAATAAGTGGTTGACCTGGAGAAGACTCTTACAGAATTCTTAAGACCACTAATCACTAAGCTGTTTCTGAGATAGGCAGCCCAAATCTGTTCCTCATTCAAGTTCTATAAGCAGCTGTTCCCTTGCCTTTTTTATTCATAGCCTTCTCTTTTAGTCAAGTAAAATTCTAATGTATCTTGGAGTCTTTTTTTTGCCAAGTCACCAAGCCTGGTGGACTGTATTCCTACTTTCATTTATGCAGAAATACGACTTCCTTCAAAAGCCTACAATTTACAATTTGTCTCCTGAAGTTTTTTTCTACTCCCTCTTACCTAAACTTTGAGCACCCCCTCTTCCTTCCTCCATGCTCTTTTTAGGACTTGTGCTAAATAAACTCATTAATTTGCTATTTTTTCATGGTGTTTTGTGATAAATTTCTATTTGCTTTTCCTAAGTATTGATAATCTTGGCTATTTCATAACCTCAAAAGCCAAGTTCTTAACACCTAAAGAACGGAGTTAAAAGACAAAAAAAATTGGCATTTTTAAATAGGTCAAAGATAGCCAAATATCAACAGTGGTGAACAGTTCAATTTAATTTGGCAAAACTCAGTAAAAGCTCTTACAGATGTTCTCTTGTCATCTTCTTGCTTGGGACATTTAGATTCTGTTCTGTAATGGTTAAGTCAGACTGCCTGGCTGTCCGTCCTCTCTCCCTCTCTCCCTCTCTCTCTCTCTCCTCTCTCCCTTAAACCTGTAAGAGTTTCTCTCCACACTGACCAAAGAGATCAATGTTTTCTTCCAAATGCCAAGTTCCTATTATAAAACAAAACATTATACCATGTAACTGAAATAACAAAAAATTTTGCGACATTTAAAAAAATGTAGCAAAAAGGGAGAATTCAAGTTGAATAATAAAATCTTGAACTTACCTTCTTCTGTAGGATTAAACCCACAGATGTCACAAATACACCGGACCCACTTATTCATCTCCTCCTCACTGTCTGCTACCAAATAGAAAATCCGGTCAATAGTGTTGATATCAAAAATATAGCTATTTTCAAACTCTTTTTTGTTAAATGTCAATCCAGCATCGACTTGCTGACATAAATTTAGATCGATAATACGAATAGGCTTCTTGGCATGATCATTTTTGTAATATTCCAAGACATCTGGATCTCCAGTCAAACGGCCACTGCGCAACACAAACCATCTCCTCTTCCATGCCTAGGAACAAAACAAAATATCCATTTAGTATTAGGGAGAATTTTTTGTAAAAGATACATATTACACCAATTTTATAAATGCATTGTCTAGAAAAATTCACAATATTTTTTGTTTCTGTAAGATAACTGGCCACTCTTAACAGCAACGTTAAGATGCTCAAATTAACTTAATGATGTATATGTCTAGAATCTTCTAGGAACTCTCCTCTGATATAATATCAAGTCAACAAACCAGTGAAAGTTTGATTTCTACTAAATATAAAAATACAGTGGTGCTGGATGTGGTGGCTCACGCCTGTAAACCCAGCACTCGGGAGGCAGAAGCAGGAAGATCACCTAGAGGTTCAAGGCCAGCCTGGGCTACACAGTGAGCTCAGGGTCGGCCTGAACTACAAAGCGAGACCCTATCTCAAAAAAACAAACAACAACAACATTAAATACAGTGGTTTCAACAAATGATGTTGGGGAAAATGGATATAAATAAGCAAAGGAGCGGACACTATGCTAAGTGATATGAGCCAGTCATAAAGGACAAATACTGTACGATTTCCCTTATATGAGGTATTTGCAGTGGTCAAATTCAAAGAAGCAGAAAGCAGAAGAGTGGTTTCCAGGGGCTGACAGAGGGAGCATAGCGAGTTAAGTGTTTAGTGGGTACAGTTTCAGTTGGAGAAGATTAAAAGAATTCTAGAGATGGATAGTGGTCATGGTTGTATGACAACATGAATGTACTTAATAATACTACATTACATAGTTAAAACAAAATGGTAAACTATTTTACCTATAGTTTTTTTAAAAAAGAAATGGTTCTTCACGCCCTAATGTCATTCCTCTTCATAAGCCTCTTGCAGATTTTAAACCACAGAATTATTCATTCATTCATTCATTCATTCTGTGTGTGTGTGTGTGTGTGTGTGTGTGTGTGCGTCTGTGTGTGCGTGTGTACTGGTGGAGGACAGGAGTGATGAGGAAAAAAACAGGTTTAGAAACTTTCCTGGCTTCTTGCCTAGAAACCAAGCAATAGACTGCCTCTCTTTCTGCAGCTGATCACTTAAGATTCCACAGAGAAGATCTGTATTCTGTAATAGGAGACACAACTTTTTAGTCTTTCGCCTCATCTTCTCAACAAATATGTATTGGCAATCTAGACCTATACTTACTGTCTCCTCCCTCCACAGGTTTTGCATTTTTAAGTTTTGAGCTTAATGTTACGCCTAAGAAAGGGGTAAAATCTTTTATTATCACCCTCTCCAAAATCTACATTCACCGAATAATAATAGCAGAATGAAATGACCGAGTCTTGCTCATCAAGTCATGAAATGACTGGGTCTTTAACCCTACATCTGTGCCTGGAAACAAAACCAAGTCTTACTCCTTTTTGAGGTTCATCCTTAGGAGCAGTCAGCTCAATATTTAAAAGGCCTATTTAAGCAAGGCTCAGTCACCTACAGTTATAGTTTGTATCTAAAATTTCTCCCGAAATCCTGATGTGTTTGGAGAGTGACTGGATCATGGGGTGCTATAAGCATCAGTGGATTCATCCATTGACAAGTTCGGTAGCTAACTGTGCTGTTAGGAGGTTGGGCTTGGTTGGAAAGGGGGAGTCCCTGAGGGTAAGACCTGGAAGTGTGTACTCCTGTACCCATCTTCTCACTTCTCTCTCTGCTTCCTGGCTGCCGTGAGTTGAGCACCTTTTTCTCCACCACTCCCCTCTACCATCTGGTTTCTGCCTCAGTGCCAGCCCATCTTGGACTAAAACTGTGAGCCAAAATAAAGCTCTCTTCCTTTAAATTGCAGGTATTGGGTATTTTGTCCCAGCAACAAAAATATGACTAAGACACCTACTAAGAGACATTCTGCATTTTGGACTGAACATCTGACATAAGATCACCCAAAGAGGCACTCTGGGCAGCAGAAGGACAGAGAAACAGGGCAATGTGCGAATCCTAGTGGACTCACATATTCTCACTGCCCTTTCTGTCCATTTGGGGATCACGACTAAGCACCAGGCACACTGTTTCCATGCTTTAATTTTGGGAAATTATAACCAGAAATAACACATCTCCTTTACAGTGACCACTTGAGATAACGGCAACCCCACCCTTTCAGAAATTTTAGTTTACAAGTTTCATGCTCAGCAGACAATCCAATCAGACCAAGAAAGCTCACCAACGTTCTTGATGTCCACATGTGCCAATTACCCCAAAATAATGTCTGTGTTTTCACTAACATATGTATATGTATGTACCACTCTATTTATAAGAAAATATCTACTAAAACCTTCAAAAGCAATGAAAGGTTCTCTTTTTTTTCGTACTGGGGATCAAACTCGGGACCTTGCACTTGCGAGGCAGGCGGCAGAACCACTGAGCTAAATCCCTGGCCCCATCTCCATGTTTTTTGTTTCTCACAAAATTTGGCAAATATAATACAAAGGAATTGTACAGTGAAGTTAAAATGTAGCTGTCTTAGTTTTATCCTGAAAAACACATGAGAGGGAAAGAAAAAGAATAAAATACACATGCTTCTCTACTGGATCTTTAGTCTTAGCTTCTATCATCACCAAATTTTACAATAAGTTCTGACAGTAAGTGATTTTTGAGTTGTAGTTCCCTGATGGAAGGGCTAGAAAGGTGTGGCAGTAGTGGAAACTGAGTCGGAAAATGACAATGAAGGGTCCCGAGTGATCCAGAAACCAGGCCACTCAGTTTTTAATACAACGGACAACTGTACAGACAACTGAGTTAATAAAGGTGATAACTTTAAGCTTAGTATCTTAAGAGAGTCTTTAAATTATATCCATTCAAGAAAATTTAGATAATTGGTTGTTCTGAAAATACTTAATGAGAAAAAAAACACAGAGAATTCATGACTCCTTTCCACAAGAAGTTTGCTACTTGTAAAGAAAATACTTAACATATATGAAAATACTTTAGCACACAAGGGCCGGGGATGTAGCTCAGTGGTGCCGCATTTGCCTGGCAAACACAAGGTCCTGAGTTCAATTTTGGGTACCAGAAAGAAAAACAAAACACTTTTGCACATAACAATTCTGGCCAAACATGTGCTTAAATATTGCTAAGTAGACAGCGATTCATATGCAGAAAAACACATTCAATCCTTTAGCATGGAATTTATTATAAAAATCATAAAGGCCTAAAAATACTGTCATTCTTTAAAATCATTAGTATTTTAAATTAACTTCTTCATCTGACTGCAGCTCAAAGAAAAAAGTAAAGAACTGGTGTCTGGAGGAAGGCAGAGTCGAGAGTTCTGTAGATGTTTTAGTTATTATTAAAAAGTTGCAAAGAGTCAGATTCATGTAAATTTGGCACTGGATTACAAAAATCCATTTGTTTAATATATACTTATTTGCTTCAAAATAAACAAAAGTTATCCCTGAGTAAAATTAAGTCTCTGTGGGCACTTCCCTATCAAGCAGTACACATGGAAAAAATAATGGAGAAATACAGGGAGAAGAAACTGGAGCATTATGTTATCTAATCAGGGCCATCAAGGAGTCTTTCCTCTTGGTTGGTGATTTCTCCAGATAGTGGAGGTTTCATCTTTAAACACAGAAATAATTTTTTCAAGCTTTAATGTCTTGCATGGAAATCTTTCCAAAATGTCTTACTACATAATTCATTGAACATAATTCATCCACTCCCAGATGATTCAGACTAAGTAGCGCAATTTCTCTACTGCATTTGAGTGAAGATCTCAGAGGCTCTTGGGCCGTGTGGAAGGTCATCTGCCCCACACCACACACTGCAACGGTGCTGTGCTTATGAGTTCATCTTTCAGATTTTATTATCACTTCTCTCTTCTGACAATATGGTTTACAGAAGCCCACACTCTTTCCTGCTCTGGAGACTTTTGCACATGCTATTTCCTAGGTCCATTATGTTCTTTCTCCTGGTCCTTTCCCATCCTTCAGTGCTCTCCCCTTTCTCAAGCACCTTCAACCCAGCCGGCCCAGTGAAAGCAAGGCGTAGTCTTAGGGATCCTATCACTTGACGATGCAGTGAGTTGTATACGACTGCTGCAGATCAATTTCTCTTTGTGCATACAGTATTTGTTTGTTCAGCATCTAAGGCCCTAACCACACCGCAAAGTCCAAGAAGATAATGACTACATTTGCTTTGTTTGCTACTCCATACCTAATGCACAGCACAGTGCCTAGCACACTGAAATATGTGTACAGTCAATCAATCGAGTTCCCCTAAGAGAACAAAGTTGCAAAATTTTTGAGAATATTACATTTGCTGTATGGGATACAGTGAAAAGAAAAGTGTGCTTTTAAAACTTCTTCCATTTGAGGAGAAGAACTCCGGTAGTGGATGTATACATGACAAACATAACTAAGATAACTGTACCAAAAGATGTGCATGAACAAACATCTTGGGAAAATAACAAAAACAAAAGAATGGAATATGTCCTTTGGCTGTGTCATGCTTTGTGTTCTAGTTGACTGTGGCTTCTCCCACCCATTCCTTTCCTTCTCTGTTGAAATCACATTGTAGAAATTTGAAAAGCCCTCAGGAAGTAAAATAGCTAAGAAATGAGTAGCAGGGCACTGAGGTATACGGCATGAGACGCATTGGGCTAGTGATTACAGAGGCCAACAGACATTATACAAAGCGTGAACACTTACAGCAGGAAATTACCGCATTAAAACACAGAATTCAGCCAAGTAGCACCTGCCTCTTATTTATTTATTTTTAACATGGTCCAAATGTGAATGTTTGTCTCGGTCACAAAATGAGTCACTCTCATTGAATCTGGCACCGATATAACTGGAAAACAAAAGCAATTACATAAACTACACACTTTAATAAGGCAGATACAAAGGTTCTCTGGATTATGGTACAAAGCACAATTTAGCCACAGAATAAAGCTTCAAGCTTGACAAGAGGACTGACATCAGCACCCTTGCTAATCACAGCACAAAAGCGTCTCTATGTTTGGTCAGAGCACAAACGGGCCTGCATAAATCAGTCTTTGTTATCTGAAAATATCTGGGATTCTTAAAGTTTGTCCTATTTTTATCCTTGCTGCCTTGGTAGCCCCGGAGAAAGCTGTACCCTGCTTCACCAATCCTGCCAAGCAGGAACACACAAAAAGGACAAGTTTTTCAGAAACCTTCAAAACCAAATCCTCAAAGCAGTTTTAATCAAACTTCAGTTGAAAAAAAATCATTTTAACTATTTGACTGCTATTATGAGCAGGTAATAAAGAGGAATTTGCAAGAAATTTGCAGAGTCGAGAAGAACTATTTTGTTTTCATTCCCTATGTGCAGTAATAGTCACTGTGATCTGAAGTTGAATAAATATTATAGCAATATAACTTCATCAGCAAGGCTGCATTTTGATGCAGTTTAAAAAAGTACTGCACTCTGATATCAATTTCCAATTTTCGGTAACTTTCTATACCCACAGGATAAGGGCGAAACTGGGAGAACACAAGGGGCCTCCCAGCTAACTCTTACCTTCCCTCTGAGGTGAGAGCAGCCCCTCAACCCTCTGCTCTCACTTGCCTGTGGCCCTGCCACCTGCTGCCCCTCAGCACATGCTCCAGCCCCCTCGATTCAACTCAGCCCTCTTCTGGGCATGATCTCCAGGCTGGCCCTGAGCTCTCTGTTCCCGTCTCCTTCCTAGCCATGTATCTGACACACCTATGCTTGCATTTTTGAGGTCCAGAGCCAGGTCTTTTCGCCTTTCATCATACTCCTCCCACTTCCCAGCCCCAAGGAGGTTCTCCATTATTGTCTGTTTAATATGCAGTCACAGAAAATCTCCGCAGCAAGGTCACAAATATGAAACTAAGGCTGGAGGACCACAAGTATGAGTCCAGCCTGGGCAATGTAGCAACTTAGAGAAATCTCATCTTAAAATAAAAAAGGCCTGAGGATGTAGCTCAGGGTGAAGGTTCTGTGTTCCATCTCCAATAAGGGTGGGAGAAGTTCTCATACTGTCTGTGCCAGTTACAGGGACACTGACATGACTATCTGGTCAACTCTCTCAGGAGCTGTCAGAGGAGGACGGAGGTGTATAAACAATAAACTAGTTTTTGAAACTCTAGAGATTATGAAGTACTTTTGAGCTTCACTTTAGAAGATCTGTTCTTTTAAATACTTTCTGCATTTGAACAAACTGAAAACAGACTTATCACATGAAGCTAGGTTTTAAAACAGGGTTATCACACACTGTACGGTATGAGTATGTACGTCATGGCAATACAGATGGAGGCCCATTACTTAGTGGGAGAGAAAAGATTTTCAGTCTATATTAGTCCCAAACCATAACTTGCTGTACTATTATTGATATTTTCACAAAACACATCAGATCACTAATGGATTCAGTTTTAAAGGAAAATATTGATAGAGGCCGGGGATTTAGCTCAGTGGTTCCACCGCCTGGCTCGCAAGCACAAGGTCCTGAGTTTGATCCCCGGTACAAAAAAGAAAAGAAAAGAAAAGAAAAACATTGTTACTGCCGCATGCTTATTTTCTGACCTCTTTAGTCCAAATAATGGTGCGACGCTTGCCAAGACCCCCTGGCCCTCTCCCTGTACCTTTCTCCTAGAGGAGATAACACTGAGGGAGTAGCCAATGTATGGGTAAGAAAAAAAGCAGAGCTCAAAGGGGCTGCAGTGGCACTCAACTCTGACTGTACATTAGACATATCCAGAAAACTTAATCTTTTAAAAAGGCGCCTCCTCTTGGACCAACTACATCATATTGGACTGGGGATGCAGAGGTCCACAAGTGTCAGTCCTGGTAGCTTTAAATGCTCAACAGACAATCCTAATGTGCCGCCAAAACTGAAAAGCACAGGTTCAACTCATAATCAGAATTACGCTCCTCTTTAAAACAGAATTAAAGAGAGGAAAAAGAAAACCCTACAGGCCCTTTCAAGTTCCTATCTGATTCTTTCTGTTCTCAATACCTTCTGCTCTGCCAACGTGCTCTAGAACTTCCTATTTTTTGCTCATTTATCCCACTGGTAAAAATCTCGAACTCTTTTCAAACCCAGTCCATTCTTTGAGATTCTTTCCAACCCTCCCACTTTCCTACTGGCACTACCCCTCTTTACTCCCAAACATCAGTTTCTGGCTACAATGTCTATTGCTTTGCTCCGGGACAGACTGGACTATTTGGTTATTTTACACTTCCAAACTTCCCAAATGACTGTAATCATGTCCCCAACTAGACATCAAGCACCTTGGATTCCACGGCCATTCCTTTTGTTGTTGTTATTTTATACACTGTTAAGTACTTAGGACTTCCGTAAGATGTTTTTAAAGTTTTCTGTTTACCAAAAAGATTGCAGAGAGCCAGAGACTTAAATGAGAAGATCTCAGGGGAAGAAAACAAAAGTCCAATGTTGTTCAAGTCAAACTCCCTGGCATACAGGGTCTTCCAAGCCATGCTCACCTGCCCTACATCTCCAATCTCTCACGCCACAGATGGCTGCAGCACGCACCTGCAAGTGATGGCCTCTAGGTCCTGCAGTGGTTGGGGGCACCTAACAAAGGAGAAAGAACAGCACTTTCTACATTCCTGGGCCAATTGCCCTTCCACCAGGAAGCCTCACCAAAGGGCAATGGAACTTTCTTATTGTGTAATCTCTTGAAAGGTATTTCACAAGTGATATTTTGGGAAAGAAGATTACTAACTATGAGTTCTTCAGTAGAATTCAAAATGTATGTATAATCTCAGAAATTTGGAAAATGTAAGGGTTGGAGACAGTGTCATATGAGACGAAATGCCTTTTTTGTGCTGGGGAATTTTTAGGGGGGCAGAGCGAGGGCTTTACATATGCTAGGCAAGCGCTCTACCCCTGAGCTACATTCCCCAGCTCCAAAATGCTATTTCCTTTTTAATCTAAATTTCATCAGCAGGGTAAAGATTAAATAAATTATGGACATCTATACAAGAAATCTATGCAAAACATCTAACAAGTGAAATGGATACGTATATATATATGAAAACTGTAAAGACAACTATTAAATGAAAAAAGAAAGTTGCAGAATTGTACATATGGTATAATTCTATTTGTCTGAAATAACTGTGTGCATGTACACATGAACAAACTATCATGAGAGATTAGGTCTGAAAAGATAACCTACCAAATAATCTAACTCTGGTAACGCTAGGTATTTAATATGAAAGGGAGAGTCAGACAACTTTCACATGTTTATGTTATACGCCTTGGTATAATCTGCTTTTCTCCAGGGAGCCTCCATTTATTACTTTATAATAATTCCAAAAATATTACATGTTTAAAAAGTATATTCCCTAAAAATGTTCTAAAAAGAAACTCAAATAACAATTTCAAGTCTAGGAATGATTTATAGAAAAACAAAATAGAAAAGTTTAGGTATGTATGGAAATGGCATTTTCATACTACTCTAGAATTAGTGAATGAATTTAACCTTTCTTTTAAATATAGAATTTCAGGATACATCTGGAAGGAGCTTGAGTCAGGAAACACCTAGACAAATAAAGCCTGATGACTTTGTTTTAAAAACTGGAACTTACGGGGTTAAAAACAAGTAAGGACCACTGGGGACATCAAAAATAGAGGAACACATTTCTCTTTCTCATCCTGTAAAGTCCAGAAGTCTAGGGTTTATAATATTCACATTGTTTTAATTTTCTTTAAAAGCCATGGCAATTAATGGTCATACATCTGGATAAACACCTAAAATAAGCACCTTGGGAATTACTTTGTTAAAAATATTAAATTTCTATAATAACACTACTAGGGTAAATAAAATTTAAAAAACAAATTAACTATGAAACAGGGACAAAAGCAAACCATGTGCTTTAAAATACTTGAGCTGTTTTCCAGGAAGCTACATCTTTTCTCATAGAGGAAAATAAGGAAAAAACAGGCTCGCTGGAAGTTTCCACTCGACGGGCTCTATCATTACAATCATCTGTTCCAAACACACACAAGCCTAAAATTTCCTGTTTTCAAACTATTGTCACCATTTTCTACCCTTGCACTGTCTGTGCTAACTTTAGCTTTGTAATATAAACAGAAGAACACACTGAAAATAATGCAGAATACCTAGATCCAGACTTTCAAGTGTTCTATAAACCTTTTAAATATTAGAGTGTATATACATTACTTGGATGAAACAGAGTAGCTGGAAAGAAAACAATTTTAAAAGGGAAAAACTCCCAGAAAAACAAAACATAACCAAATTTAACTCAAATACTATACAGTAGCCAAGGGAAAAAAATTCAGGGAATTAAAAAATATCAATAATGGTGCATATAATTTACATACTGACATCACTGCTAAATTGATGCCTACCTCAAAGTTTAGGCAAAAGTTCCACATAAAACAAAACAAAAACATAAACACAAAGAACTCATATACAGAAAGTGGTTCTTAAACCTTTTGGGACACGGATGACTTCGAAAATCTGAAAAACCAAGGGAAGCTTTTCCTAAATGAAGACTCATCAGAAACCCTGCACTATTTCAGGGGTTCTCAGGAATCCTGGGGTACAGATTAAGAACCTGGAAGCAAAATTTCACTTTAATGCTCCTTACCACACAGCACAAATTGGTACGAGGCTGGTCCATCTTGGAACCCAACTAGGGAAATTTGGTGAACAACACTCCACAGGAAAGCAGGTCACCTCCTGGCATTAACT